GCTGTGCTTCGGCATAACTTGACATTGGCCAACTAGAACAACACCGACCAAAAATGGCTTGTGAAGATACGGTCTCGGTCGAGAGATGATGGAGTGAGGCGATCCATGGTGCTTAGACACATTGGCGAAGAATGCCTTAGCCACGCCTACCGCAAAGAAAAGGATGGCGAAGAGGGATGAAATGTCCATACTTAGTGAGGAGATCAACGACCACCGTGATGCAATTGTACGATTGGGAAGTTGGAAGTCCTTCAATAAAGTCAAGAGAAAGAACTTGCCATGCCGAGTGCATCGGCGGTGGTTGCGTAAGCCCCGCGCTTTAGCTCGATCATATTTGGATTGTTGACAAGTGATACAAGCTTAGATGAACTCTCCGACAATGGTCTTCATGCCACTCCGGCAAAAACATTGCTTGAGTCGAGCATAAGTAACAGCACGCTTTTAATGTCCACCCCAAGAGCCGGAGTGAAATCGTAATGAGGGATTGCTGCAGCCCAAAATCAGCGCCTACCCACACGCGGGAGCGATAACGAAGGATGCCGGACTAAAAGGAGTACTTGGGAATGAAGCGGGATCCAAAGTGAGTTTGGTGATCAGCTCAGTCGCGAAAGGATCATTATGGTAACTAGCGTTGACCGCCACCGTGTCGAGATGGCACCGCAGAGAAAACATCATTGCAAACAAATACCGACGGTGAGGGTGTCGAGACAACGCGTCGGCCAAGCGATTTGGTCTTGAACCACCTTTTGTAAACAATCCGATATTGGAGTCCAATCAATTTGGAGAAGACTCGTTGCTGCCAATAGGTATGCAGTCGTTGATCCGTCAGTTGAGTAAGGCTCTTTTGGTCAGTGAGAATGACGAATTCCTAAAATTGCAGGTAGGAATGCCAAGCTTGGGCTGCGAGAAGGATAGCCAAGAATTCTTTCTCATACGTGGACAGCCCCTTGGACTTAGTTCCCAGAGCCTTGCTAAGATATGCGAGCGGGTGACCGTCTTGCATGAGCACAGCCCTAACCCCTGCATCCGAGGCATCGGTCTCGATGGTGAAAGGTCGTGCGAAGTTCGGTAAGGCCAGGACGGGAGACTGGCACAGCGCTGCTTTCAAAGCCTGGAATGCAGACTCGTGGTCCGGTGTCCAGATGAACAGGGTATGCTTCTTCAACAAATTTGACAGAGGCTTTGAAATGATGCCAAAGTGACGAATGAAACGGCGGTAGTAGCCGGCCAATCCCAAGAAGGACCGGAGTTCCTTGGTCGACGTAGGGGTCGGCCATGCTGCAATTGCGTCCAACTTGGACGGATCAGTCTCCACACCGTCAGCGCTGACGACGTGACCTAGGTAAGCGATCCGACTTTGTGCGAAGGTGCACTTGGAATGTTTGAGCTGCCAATGATCGCGAGCCAAGAGTTCAAAGACCATTCTCAAATGTGTCAGGTGCTCTTCCATAGATCGACTGTACACCAATATATCATCGAAGAATACTAGAGCAAACTGTCGCAGACATGGTTGCAAAGTCATGTTCATGGCGTCCTGAAATGTGCCAGGAGCACCAGTCAAGCCAAAGGACGTCACACAAAACTCAAATTGCCCAAAGTGTGTCTGGAACGCTGTCTTATGTTCTTCCCCATCTTTCAGCCGGATCTGGTGGAAACCAGATTGTAAGTCTAGAGTTGAAAACACACTGGCACCAGCTAACTCATCCAACAGTTCTTCGATGACAGGAACCGGGTATTTGGCCTTCGCAGTGATTGCGTTCAACTGGCGGTAGTCAACACAAAAATGCCAGGTTTGATCTTTCTTCTTGACAAGTAGCACTGGAGAAGCGAAAGAGCTAGAGCTTTTCTGAATGATGCCTTGCTGCAACATGTCAGTAACCTGTCGCTCGATTTCTGATTTCAACATGGGAGCATAACGGTAAGGCCTGACAGCCACTGGATGAGCACCGGGAATCAACGGAATAGCGTGGTCGCAGTCACGGCGTGGTGGTAGACCGGAAACCGGCTCAAACAACTGTGCAAACTCTGAGAGTAAATCCTGAACTGCAACTGGCAAATGAGCAGTAGCTAAATGAGGTTCTGCTGAATCCTGCACCAAACATAACTGAATGACTGAACCTGATGGCAGTGACGCAGACTTGCCTAGTAAAACTGCAGTAGAGCCCTGATAAGGTATGGCCATCCATTGATGAGACCAGTGAACGTGCATAGGGCTGAAACTGCCCAACCAATCCAGTCCCAAAATCATATCATAAGCAGACAATGGAAACAACTTCAAATCAATAGAGAATGAGTAATCCTGGACCTCCCAACGAGCTGTAGGAATATGGGCTGAACACTGAGTGACATCGCCATTAGCTACCTGAACACTGATAGGTTGAGCCAGATTTTGAACACCCACCAACGACTGAGCGAGGGACGCATTCAGAAATGAGTGTGAGCTGCCAGAGTCGACCAAGATGGAGACAGCTATGCCCTGAATAGATCCCGACAAACATAGAGTGCCCGGTGTAGTTGAGCCTACCATTGCTGACACCGATAGGTGCATCATGATATGGGACGTCGTCGGGGATGCGGGGCCCTCCTCATCTGCATCATCAGAGATTGGCAGAATATCCCAAAGTTCCTGAACGAGGTGAAGCTGTACCGTCTCGGAGCATCGATGATCCCGGCTCCACTTGGCGCCGCAGCGATAACAGAGCCCCTGAGCGCGACGAGCAGCACGAAGGGCTTGCATCTTGTCATCAGTCGTCGTTGCAGCGACATTCACTGGGCGCCTGACCGCACCAGGAGCTTGTGGAGGCGGTGGCGGCAAGGCCAAGGGAGGCCCCCACTCGGGCTTGGAGTTGCTGGCTTGATCAAAGTGTCGGTATGGCCGTTTGGTGAGCCCCAACGCTTCCTCCTGCAATTCAGCCAACACGCAGGCAGTATCCAGAGTAGCTGGCTTGTGAACCATAAGAACAGCTTTAATTTCATCACGCAAGCCATCAATGAAACGTTAAACATAGTAAAGAGGGTCTGGATGTTTAGCATAAGCTTTGAGTTCATCTACCTGCCCTACGAACTTCTCGATATACTCAGAAACAGGACCAGTTTGTCGGATTTGGAACAAACGACGAAGAAGGAGTTCGTGTTCGTCGCGTGCAAAGCGTGACAACAATTGTGCACAAAACTCATCCCACCCCTGGTTTTCAAGCTCTTCCTCAACTGAAGAGAGCCAGCGCTTGGTTGATCCCTGGAAATGCATAGTGGCAGCAGATAGCCACACAGTGGACTCGACACGGTAGAGTTTGAAGTAATGAACAGCCTGCTTAATCCACAGTTTTGGGTGGTCACCGTCGAATTTAGGAAAATCAAACTTAGGCAATTTCCCTATGTGATCCCCTCTAGAATCCCCCTGACGACCGGACTCGTAATGGTGCCGTGGGTGTGGATGTGGTGGGCGAGGCGGAGGACACGGGAGAGGAAACATGGAAGGAGGTCGGCCAGGAAACGTACCCTTGTCAGGCGGTGGAATCAGAGTGGTGGGCACTCCGAAAGCACCGTCCCGGGTCCCAAAATCGAAGCGGTGCCCGTCGGGCCTGTTGGCTGATGTTCCCGCAGATGTGCGCGGGGCAGCCTCGAATTCCCCATGTGCGGCCGACTTGTGTGTTGGTGATGGCGTAGGGGACTTGTTCGTCGGAGTGCGCGGGGAGGACTTGACGGTGGGGAGCGGAGCCACTGGCGAGGGCGGAGCCGACACAGGCTTGGGGGCGAGCACGTCTGGAACGGACCCGTGCACACCCGAAGTCGGAGATGGCCCATCCACCATGGAGCGCTCCATGTACTTGGAGATCTTCCCGACCTCAAGCTTCAGGGAGGAGAGGCGCTTGACCTCCACGCGTAGGTCGTCGATGAAGCCATCGACGCCGGGGCGCCACTCATCGAACGAGCGGGCAGCGCTTTCCAAGGCATCGAGTCTGGATGAGGAGGAATCGGCGGAGGCGTCGAGCCGGCGCTCAAGATCGTCGAAGTGGGCGGCGATGCGCTTGTCGATTTCATCCAGGAGGAGCTTCTGGTTCGGATCCATGGCCCCGAGTTTCTTCTGGCGGCGGGTATAGTGTTCGTGTGAAGAGAGGGAGGCTCGATCCAGATCGACGCACACCACAAATCGCGATTCCTGGATCGGAATTACGGAATCCCCGAATCAAGCTGCAGTCCACAGGCCTCGATTCAGGGTTAGACCAACCAAAATCCGGTGGAATTCAAGCGATCGATGGGGAACAGTGGGTCGGAAACGGAATCAGAGGCCGAGGAGCGTTGTCTCTGATACCAATTGTGAGAGGCAAAGGTCGGGAGAAGGGGGAAAAAGGAGGCGTGGAGGAGAAGTTGAGGAGGAAGAAGAACAGGGATATCGATGATGAATCTTAGTAGAGTAATTTGAGTTCTGTTTACATCCGTGTACCCTCACGAGTGCTCTCTCCCCTCTTTATATTACAGGGGACTTGCCCCTTTCACGCTAGCAAGTGTTTGCCTCAGGCCCATTGCTCTCCGATGAATCTAGGATTGGGCTTCCTTTGCCTTGGCGATCTGGGCTGGACTTGCGGGCCTTCCCCATCCTCGGTCCTCTTCTCCGTAGTAACAGCAGGGCGTCTGCTGACAAAATGCTGGCTGATTTTTTGCGTGTACTACTTGCATTTGGATTTTGATTTCACGATCCCTTCTCGCAAAGTAGAGACTTGGTTACTGCGTCTCCATTCTTTTTTTTAGGGTTGAGAAATAATTCATATGAACCAAACACTATTTTCCATGGGAAAAGATTTGCAGGAGGTTTGTTGTGCACAAGAAAATACAATCGGAAGTCATTTCCAGGTGAAAAGAATTACAAGGCTTCCAAACATGCCCTGATCGAAAGAAATCCAACCTCGTGCTTATCTAGAGCAAAGACAGATGCAGGACTATGCATGCCGTAGCCGCGTAGCGGACGGCAAGAGCGCGTTTGTTTGTCTGGACCAACCAGGCTACTGTGCCCGTGGGCTGTAACTTGGACGCCTATTTGTTTGCCCGGACGTGGTTGGGAGCCCGGCCCACACGGTCATCAAAGCACCCCTCAGCCAGGCCCCGGGGAAACGAAGGGCTCGGCCCGAGCGGGCGCTCGGGTGGCCCGAGCAGACGTTGCCGTCACCTCCGATCGCCTCCTCCAAAGAATCATGCGTCGCCCCTCCGGCTATCCCCACCTCGCCATGGGCAGCGCCGCCGCCTCCCTCCCCGCGCCTCCGCCCCCTTCCTTCCTCCCCAGCGGCTCCCCTCCTCCCTTCCCTGGCGGCCTTGCCGAGCCGCAACGTGAACCACGACGACGACGACGACGCCCTCGGCGGCCTCACGCGAAGCGGCGACGCTCCTCCCTCATCTCTGGCCCGGGCGCACCCAGATCTGCCCACGGCGACCTCGCCCCTCAAGGCTGCGATGGCGGCAGCCTCGCCCCTCCTGGCTGCGACGGCGGCGGATCCGCCACTCAAGGCTGCCGCTGGGGAGCACGCCGCGAGCGCGGGCAACGCTGCTTCGCAGGCCGTAGGCGCGGGCTCCGTGGCTGCTCTAGCCTCCAACGACGTGCTCCCTCCCCTCCATCTCCGTTCTCTTCTCTTCATCTGTCTCTACTCTCTCTCAGGTGCTGGTGTGAGCTTGAAGGTTCCTCTCCCATCCCGTTCTCTTTCTCGTTCCCCCTCTCGATTCGATCCCCTGGTGGAGCGCCATGGCCGCGAACTCCACATACTCTCGGCTGAGGATGGTTCGGCTGCTCACGCCATGCCAGTGAGGTGCTCGATGAAATGGCAATGAGGTGAGGAAGAAGGTGGGGTGGCAAGGCTACCATATTCCTGTTGCCAGCGAGGCGTTCGTTTTTTCTTTTGCTGATAAGACTGAAAGTGAAAAATACTGTTTATAAGCCAACGGAACTGAGTCTCACCTCAGAGCCTGTTTAGTGCCTAAAATTTTTCAAGATTTCCTGTCATATCGAATCTTTGAACGCATGCATAAATCATTAAATATAAATAAAAAATAAAATTAATTATATAGTTTAAACGAAATTCATGATAGAAATCTTTTAAACTTAATTAGATTATGATTGAACATTAATTATTAAATAACAACGAAAATACTACTATACTATTTTTCAAAAAATTTCCAACTAAACCACCCCTCAGTCAACTTCTACTGCGTTCAGGCAAACAAACAACCCACCGTCTGGGCCCGTCCAATGCTGTGCAAGCCCAGTTGATACGCGCCGGCCACCCTAGTGTAGGCAAACAACACGCCCCAAAGTGATTGCTTCTAAACACACGCCCACGTCAGCATCGTAGTGGGCGGAAGGGGAAGCGAATGGAAGCAGTCGCTGGTCGTTTTTGCACAAATCCAAGCAAGCAAATGTCTTGTTCGCTTAAATATATCAGTTACGAACAATATTTTTCTTTCACAATGAATTAGTTTTAATCGACTTATCAACCAAGTGAAACCATCAAACGAACAACAGTGACAACGTCGCCTTCCTAGCTATAGCAGTCATCACTCGTCCTCGATAAAGCATAGGAACAGTCACGGTGTCGTGCCATTTCGTATACTAGCATTAATTAAGAACGAGAGGCTAAGAAACGTGATTTGCACACTAATCCTGTCAAGATTAGCGGACGCCAACCGACAACATGCCGTGGCAGTTCAATTAGTCTGACCTTCTAACGCGCTTGCTAACTGCATTGCTAGTATAGGATAAACAAAGGCCACAGGCTGAGGAGTTAACAATTACTATTGAGCCGAGAAAGTGCTCGACACGAAATTTGGCTTATACTGATACTTATACTGAAATATTATGAGAAAAAAATCATGCTCTATGACTGAAAAGTAGATTAAGCAAACAACGAAATTTTGGAGATATCTATCTATAATAATAATAATAATATAATAATAAAAGTCTTTAAACGTGGTGATCCGCCGTTTCCTCCACCTAAAACACTTTTCATTCACACTTCTTTTGTTCCAGCCGTCCGATCCCGCCTGCTACCAGCTGATGCCCACCAGGCCCCCATGCTCAACCTGGCAACCTGCACACTTCTGAGGGTCCCACCAGGGCCCACGGGCCAGGCCACCATCCGCTGCCTCAAGCGTGGCAACCTGGCAACCTGCACACAAATATGTTATTAATTTTTTGAGCATCTTAACGATTCAAATGAAAAAACTAAGGGATCTATAATTTTCATATAATTTTTTTTTCATTTAATTTCGAAAAAAAATAATATGATTTTTCTAAGATATATTAATCATATCAAATCATATTTTTTGCGAAATTAAATGAAAAAAAAAATTTATATGAAAATTATAGATCTCGACGAGACGGGCCTCAAAAAATTAATAACATATTTGAACTTAAGGGTTTTTCCATCCGCTGCCTCAAGCGTGGCGCTCCACAGAAAAGAGAATTACATCTTTTATAATGGCTCAAAAGAAAGAAGAAAGACGGCGACGGCATCGAGGGCGTCCACCGTCTCTGCGACCTCTGCAGGCTGCGGCGTCGCCCCCCGAAGCGCAGCCTCTCCTGCGACCTCCGGCCGCCGCACCCAGCGGCTGCACCACCCCGCAGCAGCGCCGCCGCACCCCTCCCCCTGGGGTTGCGACGCTGGCGCTGGTCGCCACGACGCCGGGATGCCGCAGGTCCACCCTCTCCGCCCGCCTCGACTTGCTAACGCGCTTCGCCTCTCCCAACAGGTTCGCTCCACCGCTCCCTCCTCGCGGCTCCGGCGGCCCGATGCTGTGCCGCGCCAACACGGGAGGCCCGAGGCGGGCAAACCCTAACGGCGCACCCCGGCTGTCGGCGCGCTCGATGACGGCCGGGTCAATCCTTCCTCGATCTATTCCATAATATTTGTTTCGGTTTTGATACAGGCAAAACATGTTTCGATGAATGTGTTGCTTTAGTAATCTTCATTTGTCATTCGGAGATCATTGCTTGCATGTGGCCTCTGTACCTACATGTCCTCAAACGAGGATCACAGAAACCAGTTTTAGAGGTTCTTAAACAAAATAATTTTTTCGCTGTGCTTACGTTTTTGCTTCATTTCCAGAGGTATACTTATTCAGGGTTTCATATCCAGTTACGGCAAAGTGTGACCATTAACAATTATAGTCTTCTAAATTTCCGTTCTAAGATTACTATGATTGCCTCCTATTAATTAAAAAAAATGCATTTCCCATCTTGCCTGCTATTGTATTATGATGCCGAATCTTTTTATGTTGTTTATAACAGATTAATTATCGTCCTATTACTTCCCTAAATCATTCTAATCAGGCACTTCTTCTGTATGATTCATTCCTATCAACTCTCATAGTATACCTACTAAGCACCGCCAATTTGAAACCTCTACATCTTAATACTATTTCAGTTTATGGCTTTTTTTTGCATATACAATTCGAGTTGTTGCACTGGTATGAAGTGTGCAAATTTATTTTCCCTATCCTGTCCAGTTGCGCTGCAATGTTTGTCATTTCTTTACAATGGATTTCGTTGGTTAATTTGATCACTATAAGATGTGCTTATCTCTGCTACCTCTTTTCGGCTGCCATATCTTTCTGCACGATTTATGGCAGTGGTTATTTAGTGACCATATGCTCATGCGGTGCTTCCTATAGTTCCCTATTTTGAAAAAGGATGTTGTGCATTTCTTTTTACACCCACATCAGTTTATGTATATCATGATACACGTATCCTTCCTTCTGACCTATTCAGATTTGGCATTCATCCATTGGCATGCTCCAGAGATCGGATGGATTGCATCTTCAACATAAAAACTTTGGTAACCCTGCATGGTATGGAATGTGCTCCTTCCCTGATTTGGAATTGTTATTTTAAGTGATTTTGGCAAGTTAGGGGGGAGGGGATTTCTTCACATTGTTTGATCTGTGATCTTTTCAGAAATGAAGTTCTTGGCTGATCCAGATAGAGCAGTATTGCCTGGACCCACAACATCTTAGCAATTATGTTATTTGGCTAAGGTAGGATTAAGAAAGTCCTCATTGTTTGCCAGTTTTGGCTCTTTCAAATGCAATTACATGTCAATAGCAGTTATATACATTGGCAGTTACATAGACTCTTCTAAATTTTTGTTTTAAAATTCCTATGCTTGCTTCCTATTATTAATTAAAAAAATGCATTTCCCTGCCTGGCTGCTATTGCATTATGACAGTGAATCTTTTGTCATTTCTAACATATTAATTATCATCCTATTTGAGTTTTTGGCGCTTTGTGCAAATTTATTTTCCCTGACCTGTCCACTTACACTGCACTGTTTATTATTTCTTTAGAGTGCATTTCGTTGGTTGATTTCAACAGAGGAGCCACACTATTGCCTCTTTTTTGGGTGTCATATTCTGCTGCATGATTTATGGCAATGGTTATTAAGTGACCAGATGCTCATGCAGTGCTTCCTAGAGCTTCCTATTTTGAAAAGGATGCGGTGCATTTGTTAGGGTTGCAAAAACAAACTGCATTTTAGTTACCATGTGACTTCCAAATAGCAAACATGGTGACTCCGCCACTAATTGATTCCATCATGGCACAGCATTAATAGTGCACCTGCTTTCCTGGATGAATGTGCTGATGCAATTTTCAAATGGTCAATCTGAACATAAATACTGCATAAAGATGGCAAAGTATATTTTCATTCCAACGCTTAATTTTAGTCCATCTCTGGATCTTGGAATGCTGACGATTTGTAATAATGAAGATGTCGATCCACAATGAAGTTGGTTCATAACTTGGACTGCTACCGTCTTACAATCAGCTTTTTGGTTATTGATTGATCTGTGTTTCTTCCACGAAAGAACCACAGTACATATGCCATAATGCTAAATTTTCATTGGTATAAACATTTCCTTTTGTTACATTACTTATATTAACCTGTATTGACAAACATGTCTTCCCTGCATTATTGTTTATTCATAATTTTTCCACATACATGAGACCTGTGCTTCCAGTTCGTCTAACTTTCTATTATGAGATCTGTGTTTTCCTCCATGTTTTTACACATGCAAAGACCATTCCTGCTGACATATTCTTTTTAAGTTGTCATCTCAGGGCTATGATGTACCTAATGCAGACCATGCTATTTTCTATAACTACAATTTTCAAATTCAACATCATTAGATGTACCTTAGTTGTAGGCTTCGTAAATGTACCTTACAACATTGTCCATAACCAATAAGATCATTGCCCAAATTGATTCTTCCTAGGCATTGCTCATGCTGCTGCACATAAATAGGCGGCTGTTTAAAATAGGTTATGTGCTCTTAATAATTAGTTTATTTATTTGCTTGTTCCAGGAATTGTAAGCACTGCTCCACGAATATGAGGATATGCGATTGATGCACTCAAACTGGCCAGGTCTTCTCACGATCCTCCATTTTCTTAAACATCGATCACCTCTAATTTGTTATCCTCTAATTCAGGTCTTCAGCCTGGTCGCTTGGTCGTAAACGATCGTAAATTTTCAGCCGGAATAGTGTTTCTCTCTCACATCAAATCAGCCAGCCAGCAGTAAATAATCCACGATCGTTTATGACCTCCCGAACAGGGGCTGCTTATTGTCTCAGGTTCAGTCCATAC